GTAATCATACTTCTTTGAGAATTCCTTTCTTGTCTATGACATTTCCAAGAGAGAGTTCCAATTTCCATAACACTGGATTTGGTAAGTCTTCAAAGTATGAATACTCAAAATGAAATATCACAAGTTTTATTTGAAATCTCAAGAACTTGGTTTTAACAATATTTCTAAAAATAAAATTACATTGAGTAATGGGGGAGACCTAGAGTCCCTATTACAATCTAACTTCATCATCATCAAAATCTATAATATTTTTCCCAAGAGCATTTTAGATCCTAGTTTAGAAATAAAATCACGAAACACTAGTTTTGATATATTTTCTTTGTTTTACACTAACATTAGTGTTTTTCTTTATTTTGTAATGATATATTATGTGAATGTAACCCATTAGTTTTGTACTTACATTAATAATTTATAATAATAAATATAATTATTAAAATAATAACAATATTAATAAATAACATCATTTTATAATAATTAAAATTATTATTGTAAAATTATTAATAGTAACTATAAGAAATAATAACTAATTGTAAAATAATCATCATTATTTTAAGAATAAATAACACTTAAGAATAACAATATGTAATAATAATTATTGTAATATTACTAATGATAACTAAAAGATATAATAATTTATTATCATTATTATAATAAATTGTAACGATAATAATCATCATTAATCATTACACTTAAGAATAACGATTAATAATAATTAACTATTACAATAATAATTATAACTGTTAAAATAATAAAGATAATACTTACAATTAATAATTATGATTAGAATTATAATAAAAAAAATTATTATTGTAATAGGATAAATAAGAATTATTTAAAATAATACCGAGTAAATTATAATTAATAATGATAATCATCATCAATAATCATAACTTTTAATAAAAATAATAATAGTAATAAATGTAAGTATTAAACTAATAATTATTATTATTATTAATTACGATTATAATTATTTATAGTAAATATTATTATTGTACTATCATGAATAATAATTTTTAATAATAATAATTATTCATAATAAATTATTATTATTAATATAATAATTTCAAATAATAAATTATTACTATTCTTAATATTATTATAATTATCTTTATTAAATGAATTAAATCTATTCAGATCAGATCCATTTAGATCGGATCATATTTATTAACCTTAAAAAAATTTAGTTCCAATGAGATCAACACAACCCAAGTAGATTTGTTCAAATCAATGAGTAATGACTAATGAACCACCTTAGTGTTCTGGAACTTTCACAAATTATGTCCATCCTTTTATTTTTCCACAAATTCCAAAAATTTCACACACTTCACTTCCAGACTTTCCGGTGTACCATGCTTTTTCTCTTTCCTTCACTTGCTTGATGATCTGCCTGCCTGGTAATATCATGTTCTCTCCCTCTGTTGTATTTCTTGCAACTAATATTAGTTGTTCCGTTTCCATCATCACTGAAGAATGAATATTTTCTATAGAATTATTATGAGAGATTACATGTGTATATGTACAAGGATTTCCTAATGACAATAGGAAACAATAATTAATACACCCTATACAAATATGGTAGCTACCAATATACATTAATATTAAATATAGTAAGAATATATTTAACATGCTCCCAACGGCGCTAATGAAGATCGCCGCACGCCCTGACAGTCTCAAAACTCGGAGAAGACCATGGAAGGTAGTCCCTTGGTGAAGATGTGTGCATACTGTAGGGAAGAAGGCACATGAAGTACTCGTATCTGACCAAGGGCTACTCTGTCACGCACAAAGTGAATGTCAACCTCAATATGCTTCGTGCGCTGATGCTTGATAGGATTGGCAGAAAGATAGACGGCACTGATGTTATCACACAAGACCAGTGTAGAGCGTGTCAGAGGTTGCCGGAGTTTTAGACGAAGATTGCGTACCCAACTGACTTCAGCGACGACATTAGCGACAACTCGATATTCTGCTTCAGCACTGGACCGAGAGGTGGTGAGTTGTCGCTTGGAGGACCAGGAGATGAGATTATCGCCTAGAAAAATGCAGTAACCGGATGTTGATCGGCGAGTATCTGGGCAGCCAGCCCAATCAGCATCGGAATACGCCCGCATATGATCTGTCTGAGAAGGTGATATGGTGATGCTGTGGGTAGGTGTACCGTGTAGATAGCGTAGAACGCGCTTCATGGCTGTGACATGTGGCACACGATGATCATGAAGAAATAGACATAGCTGCTGTACGGCATAGGTAACATCCAGGCGGGTGAAGGTGAGGTATTGCAGTGCTCCCACAATAGAGCGATAAAGAGAGGGATCTGGTGCTGGAGGACCAACGGTGGCTGAAAGTTTCCCGCGGGTGTCCACGGGTGTAGAGACAGGTTTGCACGAGGTCATGCCGGCCCGTTCGAGGATGTCATAGATGAACTGAGTGTGAGTGAGGAACATGCCGTGAGAGGTCTGCTGGACATTGATCCCAAGAAAGAAGTGAAGGTCACCCATATTTGTCATAGCAAACTCCCCTTTTTAGCCGTTCTTTAAGCCGGTGAAGGAGGGCAGTGGATGAAGCTGTGAGGACAATGTCATCAACATAAAGCAGAAGTAGAGCCATGTCCTGGCCGCGACTGTAGACAAACAAGGAGGTGTCACTCTTACACCCACTGAAGCCAAGAGAAAGGACAAATCCAGTGAATCGCTGGTACCAAGATCGGGGTGCTTGTTTGTGTCCATAGAGTGCCTTATTTAATTTGCAGATGTAATGTGGGAGAGCAGGGTCCTAAAATCCCAAAGGCTGAGCGGTATAAACAGTATCTGAGAGGTAGCCCTGCAAGAAAGCATTTTTGACGTCGAACTGGTGGATCGGCCATCCTCTGGACACGGCAAGGCTCAGGACGATGCGTATAGTGGCTGGTTTGACAACTGGGCTGAAAGTCTCGTCGTAGTCGATGCCATGGCGTTGGTTGAACGCACGAACAACCCAACGAGCTTTGTACCTGGACAATTCACCTGTTGGGTCAAGTTTGTGGCGGAAGAGCCATTTTCCAGAGATTACATTTTGGTCGGGGGAGGGGGGTACAAGATCCCATGTATGATTAGCTATCAAGGCATTATATTCATCTAGCATAGCATTGTACCAGTTAGTTTCTTTGAGAGCATTTTGGTAGGTAGGGGGTATAGGGGAGATGGATGCAACGGTGTTTAGGTTTAGGATTTGTTTG